CCTATCGTAGAAGGCCCATTACGCTTAGGTAATGGCTTATTGTTAAAAGCCCATTATACATGATAAAAAAGTAACGCAAAAACAATGTAACAACATCGACAGGCGACACTGTCATTAAAAGTTACAAAATATGTGCCTTAGGTTAATTCTACAATGTGCTTTTTCTGTTTTTTGCTGTTTGTCTCTTGCCTTCTTAATCAAAAAGGCAAGAGACAAACAGCAAGAAACAGGAAACAAAAAGCACATTGTAGAACAGCCATTAATCTCATTCAAAACATGTTTTTCGACTTTCTCAATTTTGTTACTTAATAAAACGGTTACTTAATAAGATAAAAAAATAACAAAATTCTTGAAATGGAACGTATAATTATACAGAAAGTCTTCCACACAAATATATATCGTAGGTAAAATAATTTGACAAGGTGCTCTAATGTAGAAAATCGCCGACCTAAACAAATATTCTTATATATAATTTTATATACATTACTTTTATTCAAAACAGATTACTTGTTGTATAATTTAATCTCGTTCTTATAAAGCGTGTTTTTCGTCCCTCTCAATTTTGTTACTTAATGGAACGGGCTCGAGGGTAAGATAAAAAATGACGGTATAAAATATAATTTCCTTCAAAATTAATTTGCCAGGATTTTCACTGTTCTTAATATCTTCTTAGGCGATATGCAAGTGACGTCTATTTTCAAGAACCCCAATATTTACCTTCCGCGCAATAGCGGCAAAAATGCACCATCGGACGAGGCGGGCACAATTCAGCGAGTTGACACAGTCATCGATCATTCTGGCGGCGACTCGAATTGTAAGAATGTGCACAAGACAAACGTGGAAACTATTATTGCCTCGGATAATAATCGGACTGTAGATTTGAGAAAATTATCCTTGCCCGACGAAGCAGGACCGAGCCAGCGACTGTTCGAGAAAGCTGACGTCACCTACAAATCCGTTCATTCTCGCTACCCTCACGCCAGCCCTCATAGATCGCCCAGGAAACGTATCAGAGCGCTCAACAGGGAATGTTCCGTCGATAGCCAGCAGCATGACAACCAACAGCAATTAAACCAATACAAAGTGCTAAATGAAATCGGAAAGGTAAGATTAAAATCCATTCAGTTAAAATCCATTTAAAATTAAGTAAACAATAATTTTATCATTTATATTTTTCCCTAAAAATTGTAAAAGTTTTTATATAATTACATACTTAATCGCTTATATGAAAATCATTAGAAATTATACAGATGTCTTTGTTAGGAGAGAATCAACTTCGAATTTATGAAACAATTCACATGAAAAAAAAAATATAAAATACTTTGCATACAATTTATTAAATAACGAATTGACTTTTCAATTATCAAAAAGTTATGAAAGAGTGTGCATAATCGTTGGAAACATTTCATCGTTAGAAATTTTATAGCATGTATACAATTAGTTACTTATGTATAATTATACAAACGGAAAACGCGAATCTCTTTAACCTGATTCATAAGTGGAAAATATTCGCGCCGAATTAAATTCGTTTGCTACAGTCTAATGCCTTTTCAATTATGTCCGCGGCATTTTAACAATCAAGCTGTATTCATCGATAAGAGGATCAACGTATCGTGTTTCTCTCATTAAAGAGCGAAACCATTTCACGGCGCTCACGTAACAAACGCGAGAATGATATGTGATTATCGATATCGAGCGAATGCTTCCTCGATAACCAATAATTCGTGCCGTAAGTCATCATTTTCAGCAATTTCCCCTCTTGCCTATCCTTCGTACTTGTTAAGAAGTAATTAACAGCCTCGCAGTTACGGATTACTGCCGATAATCACGTTATATCGCACCCGATAACGCAATATTGCCCGCAGGACTAAAAATGTTTGAACGACGCAGAAAATGATTAAAATCATCATCTCCATGCGCAATTTTTTTTATTCGATCATTATATTGTCGACGTTTACGAGATAAATAAATTGCACATTTTTTCCTGTCATATAGATATGTTAATTTGCTGACGCGTTTTCTCAAGAATTGTTTGTTACATAGCTCCTGTCTAACGAGTTAAATTTTTTTCTTTGAAGTATATATTTTTCTTTCATTTTAGATTAATTTCTATTGATTTTTCAATTAATTAAATGAAAACTCGAAAATGATAATTTTAATAAAAATGCTTAATGCTTTCTCTCTCTCTCTCTCTCTCGCACGAAAATTAGAAAACAAGAAAATAATACTAAATAAACACGTGGAAAAGAATAGAAAGGTTAAAAGTCGCTCGGACTTTTAGAAAAACAGCAAATTCCGTTTGATGCGTAAATGACGCTCGAACATTCCCTTCGAATGAAAGCGCTTACAAAAGCCAGTACGAAAATGAAAATGCGAAGCTTAATGCTTACGCATCCAGTATAGCATGATTGGATTCAAAATAAATGCGAGAAAGAAAACAAGACAACCACCGCAATAACTTTGCACTTTGCTATTACTGAGTGAAAAGTGCGAAGCTTCCAACTGCGAGAAGAAGTTTGCAGCGCACGATCTTGAGGTTCGCGTTGGGAATTCCATCAGAGATCGTTTCCCCAGAGGCGAAGAAGGAAAAAGAGAGAGAGAGAGAGAGAGAGAGAAAATATAGTATTTTTTATGAACAAGAGCAAATGTTATTTCATGCGTGAGATTATCTTTAACGAATGGTAAATAGAAAAAGAGAGAGACGAATTCGCGAAGTTCACGATTGAATTTCTCTTCCCCTTATCGTTTAAAACTACATTCGAACTCGAGATTGAATTCCTCATCGAGATAAGAGCCATCGATTGAAATAGAGTTTGATGTCGACGATTAATTTTTTCAACCTCGCGATACTGAAATATTCGAAACGCGCAATCGCCATCGTCGTGCATTCATAAACAATATATCAATCTGGTTTTTTCTCGGTATCTAATATCGTTATCGACATCGAATCTTCTCCTCTACTATATAATTATTCAGTAAAGATTTTGTCGAGACAAGGAAAAATCAGATAATCATTATACCAATTATTATATTGCGTCAAGAGTTGTTTTTATGTGATAAATTAATTCATTTTATGAGGAATTAATTAAAATTCATTGAAATAATTGTAAATGATATAAATGATGTAGCAATCTTCTATAATCATAAAAAATTATTTTTTTGAGTTATCCTTGTCAAATAGTAGGTATATAATTTTAATTACCCAAACACATAAAGTCAACTTTGAAACATTCATTATTTGTTACATTCATTATTAGATACGAGATTAAGATAAGAGTTACAGATCCATTTTTAAATTTTGCTCTCATCACTTATATATTTATAACGAAATAATGACCACGACCGGACATGCTCAAAGGTGACCATACCGTGAACCATAAAATTATGCTTCTACTCCCAATAGCATCGCCGATGACCTTCGACTTAGTCGCCACGGTGATATAAAGCGCATTATGATAACAGCGTAGCTGAACCACAAAAAGGGTTGCAAGGTTAAGGTAAAAGGATGCGAAGAGAGTCATGAGATTATCGATAAAATCTTCCATAACTCCTCTTTATGTTATGTTCATCCCAAAATATTATTTAACAATATTTTTCGTATCAACGTCAAAAATATTCCATTTGAAATCGTCCGCGTCAACAAAAAATCGTCGTATTTCAAAAAACAGGAAATATCCTCCAACAAAAATAATATTCGTTAAAAGAGAAAAATAAAATACTATATTAAAAATATTACTTAATTGAGATGAATGAATAATTTTTCATATTTTTATCAAAATAAAATATGAATTAAAACTTTCTTGCTATTTATATTGCATAAATAAAAATACTCTTGACGTTGACGACGATCTTTTTAGAAGCATTCAATAATACGTTTATTTGTCGAGAATGTTGAAAAGTCGAATTATAAACGCAGAGAAACCCCTAAAAATTTCAAGCGTCGCCTGAGATGAAACAGGAACGCGCTGTGCTTTCGCGCCTTCACTTATGCATCACTTCGCACTTGCACAGGGCTCTTTCGGTGTCGTGAAGAAGGTTTTCAACGAAGAGGATGGCACGTATTACGCCATGAAAATAGTGAGCAAGAGGAAATTAATGAAAAAAACAGGGATATTTGGGAGAATACCACCGCGCAGAGCAGGTGCTGATCCCTTGGCGAAAGTTTATAGGGAAATCGCCATTCTGAAGAAACTCGATCACCCCAACGTCGTGAAACTAGTCGAGGTGCTGGACCATCCCGACAAAGATAATCTCTATCTGGTCTTCGAACTAGTCCACAGGGGTGAAATTCTTCTTATACCCACCGATAAACCTCTGAATGAAGCAACGGCCAGGCGTTATTTTCGCGATGTTGTCTTGGGAGTCGAATATTGTAAGTCATTATGTATATTCTATTCATAAAAACTAAAAATTTTCTGCAAAGAATTTTTTCCTAAAAATTCTAGAAAGTCCTATATGATTCAAACGATTAATTATTAAAATTAAATTCCACATATCTCGAAATTAATTACAATAACACGTGCAACATTTCGAAATTGATTTTAGTTATGTTACCACAAATTCGAATAATAGTGTGTAAAATAAAAAATTTCTTTCTTTTCAATCCCGTTTTTATGTTCTGAAAAAATTTTCCAAATTTAGAAGGTTAGTATTTTAATCACATAGAATATGCCCACATTTGGCATAAATCACGTACGCGTTAAATAATAGAATGCAAATCCTCTCGACAGGCGGATTTGCGTAATGTATCTGGCGCCTTTTACGGATCACAACGTTCATCGTGGATCAATGGCAAAAGAGGCGTCATATGCATTACGTAAACTCAGTGATCGTGTTAGTATACTTTATATAAGAGTGTAGTGTAGTCGCGTTAGACACTATTCAATAAAACATGAAGCTGTTTAGATAATAATCGACTTAAAACTTGTAACATCAGTCTTACTACGTGTGGAGAAGAGGGATAAGTAAGATGTATTTATTAGTTACGTAAACGATCTTCAAGTCAAGAAATAATCCGTATAACTACGAATATATTCAGACTTTTAGAATTAAATTTTAATAAAAATTGTGTGATTGTTAAAAACTGTATTATATACATAATACTTATTTTTTGTTTTCGCAGTGCATTACCAAAAGATAGTACATCGTGACATAAAGCCAAGCAATCTATTGGTGGATAGGGACGACAGAATTAAAATCGCTGATTTAGGTGTCAGCACAGAATTAAGAGAATCTGGAGAATTATTAACAGGACAAGCTGGTACACCAGCTTTCGCAGCGCCTGAAACAACCGTTGCTAACGCACAATACTTGGGACCGGTAAGTAAAGTCACAGCATTATATATTATTCTCGAAGTATAATGTACAATCGATATCCGGACACAAAAAGAGAATCCGACTCAAGTAGAATATATAATTCATATATATTCCTAGTAATATATTTCTAATATATTCCAGAAATCAATTTCTAGTATACAGAGCCGTGATCACATTAAAATATAAAGTAACTTAAAAATTATCGTCTCTGATATGTACAGAAAAAAATTCTTTTACATACAGAGTTAATTATCGTATAATGGCTAACGATAACGATAATTTATAGCAACAATCTGCACTGAAAAAAAAATTTTAATTTCAAAGAAATATATTTCTTTGCTTGTATTAAAAAAAATTATCTTTTAATTGGATCAAAAAAATTTTCATTAATCCAAAAAGAAATAATTTTTTTTAATACGAGCAAAGAAATATTTCTTTGAAATTAAAATTTTTTTTCAGTGTGATTCTTAAATATGTTTTACAGAAAAAAGAATTCTATTACATGCAGAGTTCTACAATAATATTTTAATGCGTGACTTATTTTCTTTAGATATCATGTAATTCATCTATACCGTGCCAATCTATCTTCCCATTCTTTTTTTGTTGTCTGGTTTATTAATTATTGAAACCAGATTTTTCTGTGCGCTGAACACACATTTCTATTGTACGAGTATTCTTCCATTCGCGGAATCCGATATGCTCGCGATACATATTTGCAATATTCACGACGGCGCGTTGAAGTTGCAATGAAACAAGATCAGACAACAAATAACGCAGTGCTCATCCAAGCGACCGATTTTGTTCTGTGAGATTAAAAGTCGATAAATCAGCCGGCTATTACATGTCACTTCCACCCGCAAGCAGTGACCTCTCAAACCGCAGAGTCGACACGTGCGGATTGACCTACATGCATCGGGAGAGAGGTTCCCGATCAAGGACCTCTCGCGCAGTGCATAAATGTTCGTGATTACAGCAAAAAGAGATTTTCCGACCACGTCACTCCCAGGCGTCGATCTCGACTGATTGAATGCGCTTCAATTAGAATCGTTAAACTCGCGTATATCGCGTCGCCTGCTCCGAATAGTCTTCGAACGAACCGAGCGTAGTAATACAATGTGACGATCCGACAAAGAAAGGAGCAACAAAGTGGCCGATGCAACAGTGAGGCAATTTGCGTGTCCCAGCTGCGTTGAGTTCATTAGGTTGCATACGTTGCAGGCTCTAAGCGCGGAGAAAAAAAAAGTCTGACGTTGCGGCTAATTCTGAATTTTAGAAGGTTTCGCATTTCACAAGCAAAACGGTTTTGTATTTTATGAAAGTGTTTTAATCAGTAAAAACAATCTGCAAAACAATAGGACTGTACACTATATGTTCAATGTTACAAAAAATGAATTTTATTAAAAATACTTTCAGCTCTCTCTTTGTTTTAGCGATAATCTTCTCCATCAAATGAGGATCTTTCTTGAGCAAAAATTTTACAGTACACCAGCTTTTTGTTATTCAAAAATAAACCTGATATTGATGTTTCATAAAATGAAAATATATGCTCGTAATACACACGTATGGTATACATCTATACGTATATTCGAAAAAACATAGAGATAGTAATTGCCAAGCTTGAATGGTTATATTTCATCCTGTTTTTTTTCTCTTTTTCTTCAATCAGCGCTTCACGATGGAATGCAATTTACGCGAATGTGTTTCCTGTGAATATTGATTGCAACAAAAAAAATCTAAATATAGCAATTGAATTTTAAACTACGATCATGTTTAAACTATCATGTTACGCGATGAATGTATGTTAAAAAAACGTGATATTAGTATTAGATATTAGAAAATCTTCGAATAATATTAAAGCAAATCTAAATACACATTATTTCAAAACTAAATTATGGTCAAATGATCGCAACTCTTCATGTTTTATTGTTCATACACAGAGAAAAAGGTTTATTTGGATTTAGTATTCCTATTTATTTAACTAAAATTTGTTTTACTGAAACAACATATGCTTGTACGAAATATTATTTGTTTGAATAAAAATTTTGTTATTTCATTCGAGAAATCTCTATTGCTTGACAGAAATAACATTATTATTTGAAGTAATATCTTTTAATTAAATAATATATTATTTGGTTACAATAAATACAAACAATGAAACAAATTATTTATTTGAAAATGGCAAAATATATTCATAGAGATTAGGTTATTCCATGCAAATAATTGCTTTCTTAGAATAATCATTACATTTTTTGACCGAAAATATGGAAACAATGGTTTATACTACATCTAACAACATGGATTAAACGAGCAGTGCTATGTGCTACATCAATTATGTTTGTGGCGTATAGTTGATCACGCGAATACTGAAGATAGATATTATCTGTTCAAACAAATAATGTATTTAAGACAAAGATATACATTGTTTCAAATTCAAACAATCGCACTTATTGATTCAAACATTGGTTTGTTTGGACCATTCCAAATAACAAATTTATTTGGATACAATCAAATTTATTACATTCAAAGAAATATTTTTCTCTGTGTATAAATCTGTAAATTTTTTAATTCTCTTACAATGTCATAGCGGTAAATTATCTTTGCTCTGCTATATATCACAGTTAATCGAATTATGAGTAAAAAATGTCTCGACTCTTGCTTTGCACGCAACGTATCGTACAAAAAGCCGAGCCAATTGTTATTTTTCGCTATCTCTTTAATGCGCATTTTCAACTATCAAGAAAGGTCATAGTTCAGTTATCCTTCATGTTATACCTAGATCATGTCAACCCTCATGCCATTCATAACCTTAATATAATCATCGTCAAGATTTTCTCATCACTCCCCTACTGTTTTTTAATATCTCCGATGGTTTCTTTTCGTATCATTCATTTCTAATTATATCTTTCGTATCTTCTACCTCAACCGCTAATTATCACAGTAACTTAATTATAATTCGCCATTAAGTATATCTACTTGCACGTCAAAGAGGTATAGCATATATGCCAAGTAAATCGAAATGTTTAATCATGTTGGAAACACATCGTAACTTTATCGTAGAAATGATACAAATTTTGTCTAATTAGTAGCAAGTATAAAATTAACACAGATCAATCACGCCTTTGACTATTCAAGAAGGAGAAAGCGATAGCGAGAAAGAGAAGGAGAAAGACAAAAGAGTTTTTAGCACAGTAATTATAATTCTGTCCCTATATATCTTCAAGATTACTTGGTCGAGAGTCGAGACTACTGTTATCGGATGACCTTATCGACATACCACGGCCGATCGCTTGAATTTCCGCTGCGTCGAGGAAAGGCGATATCTATAATAAGAGACTCACGACCCGCGAGACCACACGCTCGATTACGCTTAATCAAGTCGCCGTGGCAAAATAAATGATCACTAACCCGACGAGACGACGTGCTTACGTGAAAATGCGACGAGGGGAAATCGAGAGTGTACCGCAATATCTACGAAATTGCCCATGATCCCTAAATAAAAATACACAAGACTATACACGAAATCTTGTGGAATTCAATGGAAACGCGAGAAAAATGGGAAACTTGTGACAGAATTAGAACAACATTTCGTTGGGTATTCAAAATTTAATAAAAATATTTTCATTTTTATACTATTTCAATATTGGCTACGGACTTTTCTATTGGCTCAAAATGTCAGTTGACTTTATTTTGCATAACACACATTGAATTAAACCTGGACATTTACTATTTCCTAAAATGTTCCGTGAAATTCCGTAATTTTGGATTGTCGTTAATATTTCTTATTTATTTAATTCTTGCTTTGATTTATCAATTAAAGAGAATTTTAGAAATAACTGCAAACACCATAGTTATTCCCAAAAATTTAATGATAATTGATAACAGCTTCTGGCAAAGTATTGAGTGACGTAATATTATACTTTGAACACTCTAAATTTTAAAGTGAAATATCACTCTAAAAGACTGAAAATTGAGCCAGTCTTAAAAAAAGAGTGAAAATAATTTTCACTCTTGAGCAAAAGTGACAGATTTTCACTCTTTATATGAGTGAGATTTCATTGTTTTGAAATAAGATTTCACTCTTTTGGAATAACTCCAAAAAAAGGAGTGAGACTTCATTCCTTTGAAATCTCACTCCAAAAGAGTGAAATTTTACTCTAAAAAAAAAAATGAAAATCCCCTACTCTTGTTCAAGAGAGAAAAATTTTCATTCTTCTTTCAAGACTTGTTCAATTTTCACTCCAAAAGATTTAGAGAGTAGCATTTTGGTATAAATCATTGTCTCAACATTCATTTTTTTATATATCTATAAATTATATATTATGATACACATTTATGTTTAAAGCAAATCTACGCTTATTCATTGAGACATCAAACTAATAAATTAACATTTGTAATACTTTTTTAGATAATCTTTTATGCATATATTTTTTAAGTTTATATATACGAGTATATTTTAAATTTTTCGCGAGTCATTATATCTTGTATTATTTTTATTTAATTTTCGCAGTCATTTCAGTTTAATAATTTTTTACAATTTATACGTAGATTTGCTTTTTTTAATCGCCAGTTTCACAGTACTCTTTTGCCGCTCGTATTTACAAATATCGATTTTAGATTTTACTTTTACCCTTGACAAAGAATGTTTCCAACTGCTTTTTTTTATTAGCAATTTATTTTTATAATAAAAATATCTCCCTTTGAATATTTTGATCTTCTATTTATTCCACATACCTATGTTCGATACAAAATATTTTCATCGTAATTTAAATGCGAATTTTAATCATCCTCGATTTAAACTTTTTCATTTATTTTACACTTACTCTTGAAAAATAGATTGATGGATTACGTCAAATCTATTTACTACGAAAATCCGATAACAATTCCATTTAAGAATGCGTTAGCTAATGGGATGGATTACAATAAAAAACAATCTATAGAGGGAAAAATACACCTTTCAGAAAAGTTCAAAATTTTATAACGAAGCAAGTTGTAAGCTGTAAATA